CTTGAACCTTTCTCCGGTAATGTTTTATTTTTATTGTATTGTTTATTTGAATAGGAACAGACAACAACAATAGAACAAACATAGATTAATCACAGTGTATCACAGTGTTTAAAACCCAGGCTAATTTGCAACCAGTTTGAGTTTAGTTCAACTAATTTCCAAACAATTGTGATGATAATATTCTTTAAAATGTTTCTCTTTCTACACACCCTAATGAACAAAGAGGCCACCTCAGCTGCAGCAAGTCAAACGACAAACAAAGGTATTTTACACACAGTTGACACTTGTCACAATATTTACAGCCAGACACATGCTATTCATACTATTATTACTACTACTACTACTACTACTATTACTACTACTACTACTACTACTACTACTGTCATCATTGTGAGTGAAAACAAACTATATTGTTCTTAACCAGGTGTTCAATGATCCTATCCATGGACATATGGAGTTTCATCCTATTCTGGTTAAAATCATAGACACACCTCAGTTCCAGAGACTTCGATACATCAAACAGCTGGGAGGAGCCTATTTCGTTTACCCAGGAGCATCTCACAGCAGATTTGAACACTCACTCGGGTATGTCTGATCAAATCCATGGTACTGGGTCAGATTTTTATGTTATATATTTTCACAGAGTGGCACACTTAGCCGGGCTGTTTTTTGAAAGCTTTACAAAAGGATCAACCAGAAATTATTGATGACAAGGACATACTTTGTGTGCAAATTGCTGGTCTTTGCCATAACCTTGGTGAGAAAGCCAAATCTATTACTCTGTTCAGTACTTACACAATGATGTCACATTTAGCTGGTATTTTCTATATTTACAGGACACGGACCTTTTTCAGATGTGTTTGACAGAATCTTCTTTAAAAAACACAACCCAGACCTTGATTGGAAGGTAAGTCAGAAATAGTAACTTTGGTGTGTTTCTCAGATCAGAATTTATATTAATGATTTTGATAATTGATATTTCACAAACTAATATACAGCAATACAAAATGCATTTACTGTAAAAGCAACAAACCAATCAATATTAAGTAGGCTATTAGCAAAACACCCTGTCATCCCTGATGCCATTCTCCATGTGGAAACACAAACAGATCAATTCTTCATAACCCAGTTAACAAACCTGAGTGTAAAAATGATATATTTTCATATTTGCCCACAGAATAAATTATCTTAATGTTCTAAACAAAGCATAACAAACAATGATGGTGCCTGACTAAATACACTCAGTATAGACACTATCATGTAGGATTACAAAGGCATCTCATCCAATGGAGAAAAAGAACTGTGAATTACTCAAATTAATAACTGTTGAACAAAAATTCAGTTACAGAGGAGCGAACTGTCTGCTGAACTTTTCGAAGAAATCGCAGGAACTGTGCTTCAGACGGATCTGTCAGATGATGACAAGACTTTCATTAAAGAAATTATCAAAGGGATTGACTATGAACAGGTGACGTGGAATAATTGAGCCATGCTCTTCATTCTGTAAACCACATACTGATGATGTGTTACCTGTAGGAGACACCACAAGGCCGCAAGAAAAAGGAGAAGCACTTCCTCTACGACATAGTGAGCAACAAAAGAAATGGAGTCGGTGTGAAACTCTTTGACTCAGTGGCCAGGTGAGGTTTGTCACAGGATCTGATCTGTGATTGTATTCTGAACCAAACTTTTCAGTTTAACATCAACAGCTCATGTTGATGATGACTATGCAGCAATAAAAATTATTAAAACATTAAAACATTATTCGATTATTGGCCATTATTACATACATTATCAGTTGCTACAAATTAAGTGTGTCTCTCATTTGATATACTTACCTGTGTGCATGTACTTTTTAAGGCTCTAATCCTCAAACTAGATTTGTGGTGGTGTTTTTGCAACACTTTCTATGAATCATTGTGTTTCTTTTTTTTTTATTTTTTTTTTTACATTTTAATATTTACATTATATGTGTACAGGGATTGCTATCACCTGGGCCTAAAGACTAATTTTGACCATCATCGGTTCATCAAGCTTGCCAAAGTGCTTGAAGTTGATGACAAGAATCAGATCTGCATCAGAGACAAGGTGAGAAAACAGTGTTTTCCAGTATAATAGTGGGCACTGACTATGGTGGCTCTGCAGAGTCTAATTTTCTCCCTGCCTAAAAATTATATCAATACAAATCATACTTATTTACTTCGTGTGTTATCAAAAACATTAAAAAGTAATTTCTTAGAACAGGTAATAATGTAGTTAACTAAATCATCTTTTTTTTCTTTCCTGCACAACAGGCGATGAGTACCTTGTATGACTTGGCTCACACCGTTGAAGCTCTTCATACCAAAGCCTACACACACAACGTGACCATAAACATCGAGCTAATGCAAGTATTCGTCTTTGTTTAGTTTAACATTACCTTACCTGTGTTTATCAACTGTTTATACAGTTTCATGTTTGTTATGTTATAGTGTTCGGTGTGTTTCAAGGGCTTTAATAGCATGCCTTCTCCTCAGTCACACTGTTTTACACATTCACACATTACACATTCCTAAAGTCTCTGTAACATCACCTAACACAATTACACAACAGCTTTAATTTTGTAAAAATGTGGTGTTTTGCCCATGGGCACAACAAAAGTATACATCCTAATCCCTACAGTGGGGTTATGATCAGGACTGAGATAATTAATAGAGTTAATTGTGGTACTCTCCAGGATGGAAGATGTTATCAAGGAGCATATTGAGAAGCAAAGAATACAAGCAACAGCAAAACCAGCAGAAATTTACTCCAAAGTCACAGGTTTCATCAAAGCTTCAAATTTACCATAATAAATGGGATTCCATTTGTGCCAAAACTATGTCTTTTGAACTGTGGATACTACTACTACTACTACTACTACTACTACTACTACTACTACTACTACATACTATATATTATGTCTACTAAAGGTGTACTATGTTACTTTTTGGTTGGTGGTTCGTCATCTGCTTTTATCTATGGAGATGTCATTGCTCTGTGTGGAATGTTCTGCAGTATGAAATCAAACATGTCTAACTTAGATTTATTCAGTTACGGGTGGTTTTACTACTCAAAAATACCTAGAAAAACATTCTGAGTGTGGGCGGGGCCACCTCTCCACAGATCTGACCTGTAATTTTGCCTGGTTTAGTCTCTATGAAGATATAAAGGTTTAATACCATCCTGTGAAATCAAACAAAGCAATAACATCTTGAACAACAGTTCCACAATGCACCTTTAAATGAGTCCATACTTGATCAACAAAGTGTAGACACACACACACAAGAGTCTTTCCACAAGAATCTGAAAACAACAGACTTAATTTGGCACAAATGGAAGACATACATAATGAATTTTGTTGCCTACACCTTTGCATTTCTCCTTTACTCCCACAGACAGTTTATTGGTAGAAAGGACAGATCTTGAGAAGGCAAAAAGCATTGTGAAAAGAATCCACTCCCGAGATCTGTACAAATATGTGACAAAGGTCAATAAGGACGAGGCAGAGATAAATCAGGTTAGTATTGCACTTTGTTCTGTTTGTATTTACTTTCTTTTGCAGAAATTATACTGTTAATGTTCTGATAGGAGAAAAAAGGTCGACTGGCTGAAGCACTCAGAACTAAAGAAAACAACATTGTCATTCACGTAAGTCACTTTATTCTGTTGATGATCTCAAGAATCTAGTTAATGTCTATTCATGTCTATGTCCCAAATAAGGTGCACAGCTTAAACTCTGGCAACCAAGACCCCATTTCTGGCATGATTTTCTTTGATAAAGGCAGACGCATTCTTGATTCAGATCAGATTGAGGAAAAGGTACACAAAACTGAAGTGGGCATATGTTGGCCTCTGTTATTTTAGAATGTTTACATATACATATATATATATATATATATATATATATATATATATATATATATATATATATATATATATATATATATATATATATATATATATATATACATTTTTTTTTTCATAGAAACAAGCTATGTATGAACTACAGATTAAGTGTGGACAATGCATACATGTCTTTCTGAAGAACAACAACAGTGACCTGGAAAATGCTCAGGTGGTAAAATAAATGAGATCAGAATTTTTCAGCTATAATTTCTAATGAATGTTTAACATTACACTTTTAACAGATTGAAGAAGTGAAGAAGATTTTAATGGAGTGAGAACACACAGCAAGCACACAAGGATAAAACATTTATGAGTTGTTTGAAATAATGATTTAAATGGTGTTGGTGTTGAAAATGTCTTTTCAAATCTGGTATGAACAGATTCTACTTATCCTTTACCTCTTTGTAGTGGGGCCAAACTAGTGATTGCTTAAAATTAATCTATTCATTCATTCATTAAGTAATTAAAATATATTATATATTTATGTGATTTAGACTTAGTAGTGTACTAGCCTACATGCAGGTTTTATATCAGTTAGTTCATTTGTCAAGCCCAAGGTGAGGGAAATAGAAGATTACATTGTGGCCTACAAAATGTCTACAAAAAAGTAAAATTTTATTGTTCCATACAAATCATTCATTCATTTATTTATTTGTTTATTTGTTTGAGCCAGGTACAACAAAATTCATAAACAGTAACAAAAATAGTGATTTGTACATGAACATATTTGGGACGTGGTTCTCAAAAGGAGGAGGATGAAGTTTAAAAATCTTAGAGTCCTACGACAATTGTTTAACATAATCACGTGGTTCACTTTTTTTAATATATATATCACCTTTGGGGTGCTTACCTGTCATTTGCAGAAATATACACACATATATACAAAAACATATCCACACATACATACATACATATACGCATCATATATATCCAGTACATATACTCAATATAAATGTTCATACACATATACATCACACACATATACACACATGCAGAAACATATTTTGTTTGTGGTTGTACAAACTAATAATACAGTAATGTTATCGTAGGCACAAAGTTTATTGTTTATGATCGTATAAAATAAACAGTAATGAGAATGAAAGATTTAAGGATTTTTTGTTTTCGTTTATGGTCGTACAAACTCATAATAGTAATAAAGAACCATTTTCCATCCTGGTCTGGTCCCGGTCTGGTTGGACCTGGTTTAGTCTTGGTTCAGTCCTGGTTTAGTCTTGGTTCAGTCCTGGTTTAGTCTTGGTTCAGTCCTGGTTCAGTCCTGATTCAGTCCTGGTTTAGTCCCGGTTTAGTCCTGGTTTAGTCCTGGTTCAGTCCGGCATCACAGTTTAAGTTACGTATTCGGGAAACGGTCCATTTTTCATTTAAACACAAAATCGAAAACTGAAAAAAAAAAAAAAGAATCATTATCTGTTTTTTCATTTTGGTTTTGGAGACAAATAATGAAGAAAATAGTTGGTTTTTCGTTTTCAGATTTTTGGTTTTATTTTGAAAAACAAATGAACAAATGACACATGGATTTAGTTGACTTTAATCCAGAGACCTAAAACTAAAAATGTAAAAATGGATAAAGCCACTGCTATTATAAACTGCGAAATAGTTTCTGTCTTTGGTGTTTATTTCCTGGGGAGGCTCAGACAGAGATCAGTCCCTGATCTCAGAGCTGTTGAACAGGATTTGTGAGGACACGCCCAGAATTCTGTGTTTTCATATCAGATACGTCAGAGGCAGAAGGAGGCAGGGACACTTTCTTCTTCCTCTTTCGTTTAGTCTGAAGTTCACAGTCCACACACACAGTCCAGTGTGACCTCCGAGGATCACATCAGCTCTTCAGTTTGACAAGATGAGAAGAATGTGAGTGGAACGCTACACACACACTAGAGGTGCGCGGATGGGTGACTTTTTCGTCCGCAACCGCATCGCAAAACTCATCATCCGCCCGCTGTCCATTTGCAACCACAGTTTTTGACCAGTTCTCAAAACCGCACCCGCCGCCACCCGCCCGGTCTCCTCCCAGTTACTCCGAGTTCAGAGTTTTTTATTTGAGTAGTGAAACCGCCACCCGCCAGAATTTAATTAAAATATTATTTTTCATCACGTCATCCGCCCGACCCGCAATCCGCGCATCTCTAACACACACACACACACACACACACACACACACACACACACACACACACGACACACACACACACACACACACACACACACACACACACACACACACACACACACACACACACGCACACACGACACACACACACACACACACACACACGACACACACACACACGACACACAGACACACACACACACACACACACACGCACACACACACACCGCACACACACACACACACACACACACCGCACACAGACACATACACACACACAGAGACACACACACACACCCCTACACACACATACACACACACACACACACACACAGACCTACACACCCCTACACATACACACACGCATACACAGACACACACACACACAGATACACACACACACACACACACATGCACACACACAGGCACACACACACACACGCAGACACACACACACAGGCACACACACACACGCAGACACACACCCACATAGACACACACACAGACACACACACACACATAGACACACACACAGACACACGCACAGACACACGCACACACACACACACAGACCACATAAAGATTTTAACTGAACTGTGGAGTGACCTGTTTTTAAATCTCGTCTTAAAGGTTGTATGGAGGATTTTTGTGTGTGTGTGTTTCAAATTGTCAGTGATAGATTATAAAGATGCAGTAGCCTTGTAATTATGATGACCAAAAAAAAAAAAGAGAATGAAAATTCATCAACTCTGGACGTGGTGGGGCTAAACATTTGCCAATAGATAACGACACTGCCTCGTTATCTGTGAGCTGACAGGCTGTCAATCAAACTCCCTACGTTTCTAGAGTAACTGACTTGCCTGCGCCGCCGTGACGTGGTTTACGTACGACTGTCACACAGTCCACAGACGCACAGACGCTGTTTACTCCACCAACGCAACAGTTCTTAGCGGCTTTTTTGAACTGTAGCTTCCTCGCAGTTTGCACAAAGTTTGTTGCGATGGCGACAAGAATCCAGGAGCAGTTATTCCAGGGGTTGGCAAACTTTTTGGCTCGGGGGCCACAAAGGGTTCTAAAATTTGACTGAAGAGCCGGACCAGGAGCAGATGGATGGAGTGGAGAGAAAAAAATAACATGGGATATGTAGAAAACCTGAGCTGGAATTTTAATTGAAAGTCACTACAAAGCGTCACAACAAAATATCTGTCTTTCTAAAACACTGAACATTAAATTAATAAAATACCTTTTTTAATTTACTTTTAATTTAATTACTAACAGTTACTATTTAAAAGAACTGAAAGTTCTGTTCTCCTTCAGGATCTTATCATCATCTCTCTCCTCCTGAATCTTTATTTCAAAAACAGTAGAAGATGCAGATCTACCTTCTGTTCAATGTGCGTCTCCAAAACTCAACAACGACCAACACAAGGACAGAACAGTGTCAGTGTGTCAGTCTGCGAGCGACGAGTTATATTTGATCTGGGGCACATTGTTTATAATGAATGCGTTTATCTCGGTTACGATTGGGTTTTTTGAGTCATGGTGAATGTAAACGCACTATCCCAGTTACTGCAATGTAACGTTGAGTATGAATGCTCCCAAAAGATGAATACCTCTGAAATACTTCCTGGTGCTCCACCTTGTTCTAGCTGCCGCCATATCTTCTTTCTGCTCCATTTTACGTTGTCACACTGTATGCGTGAAGACTTCGTGATATGCAGGCTAAGAGTCTTTCAACTTCACTTTCACTCTATTCCGAATGGAAACAGTGCAGTGTTATGTCTTGAACACTTCTGCCTCACTCATGGTCCGAATACACCGACCGAGAATGACTTCTGTTACTAGCTAGTCCGAAAGAATAGTTTCCCATAAAGCCCACCCCTGAGTTTGCCACAAAAGAAAGTCAATTTTTGAAGTCGCTGAATGAAGAAGACAAGGGGAAAAGCAGCGAAGCCAAACTAAGGTGATTCTTGTAGATTCATTCCAGCGATGGCGCAACTCAAGCAGACGAAGAGTCTAAAGACTGACGCATTGGTCGCCAAATTACTTCTGGACAGGTATCTTCTGCTTATTATGAAAACATACTCATTTCCAAGAGCTAGACAAACGTTTTTCAGGACATGAATGTGATATCCTATGTCTGAAAACGTAATTTTCAATGCAAAGAAAGAGTCTGTTTGCAGCTGCATGTTGAAGTAGTAGCTAGTTCATTCACACGGAATGTTTCCCTTCTCCTCACTTCTTCTCCGCACACAAAATGTCCGAAATATTATGTATGTATTAGTTTAATTTTAAGATCCCTGCATTTGTGGATTGACTGTAAATTATAATAATTGATTGCTTTTAGTATTGACTGGGATGACGAAACCTGGACTCCAGAAATTGAATCTCAAACACAGTCTTCCTCTGAAGAGGACGAGACAAAGGAGGTGGACTCTGCCTCTGATGACAGCCAAGATCTAGACTACATACCACCAGTTTGTCTAAGGTACTTTGTTTTTTTCCTATGTATGTATGGCATTGACTTGGTGAGTGTGAAATGTTTTACTCCAACCCCCAACACAAAGAATTTACTTGGCACATATTTGGGGGTAGAAGACTGATCAGATTGTTCTTTTCCTGTCACACCCTGCTTAATGGCATTTGCATTTTCACACCACAGGGCTGGGGCTGCACTGAAACAACCATTTTGTGTTGACACATTGCCACAGATTCACATGGATGAAACGGTCCATGATGAGCCTGACGACTGTGAAACTGTGGAAGATGCCATTCCTCCTGAGACTGCTATGGCTGTTATTGAGGAAGATGTTTTCGGACAACAAGCGTCCATCATATATCATGATGTCTTGAAGCAGCTTCTGCACTACCTAATCCTACCTGTGGACAAATGCACAGCTCAGGACCCTGTCACAAAGGTGTCATGCAATGCAGCAAGACCCTTTGACGTTTCCCTGAAAAGAAGATGCACAGCTGTAATAGCAGAATGAGTGAGTCAAAGGTAATAATCTACAATACAAAATTAACATGTGGGAATAATAATACATCATATATACGATAATATCACTGGGAGTAGCAAGAAGTGCAGTAGTTTTGTGACAACAGTAGTAAGTAGTAGTAGGAGGAGCACAATATAGCTGTGGGAGTAGCGGCAACTGTGTATTCATAAGTAGCAGTCACATTATTTAATTTGTCTTATTTTGTTTTTTACATATGTCCAAATGGTACTCTGTTTGGAAGTGGAGCTCCCAGCGCTACTTTAAATATGGTATGCTGGTGGGAGACTTCATGCTGGGTTTAATGTCTAAACAGAGGACCCAGGAGGAAAAAGGACGGCTCCACACAGTATGTTTCCAAACAACAATCATATATTTATATAGCATTTACATTTGAAAAAATAATGCACATAGCTGGGTGTAAATTTATAACCAATTGTGTGTGTTTCTGTCTAGAAAGGGAAAGCTTTTACAGCAAGAGGTCACGCGTCTGTACATATACAAAGACCCAAAAGAGTACAAGTACATCCCTGATCTGCAGGCACTCATACTCCAATCAAGGCTTTTGTCCCAGAGAGGAATGGCAGAGAGTCACCCATCAAGACCCGATGATCCACGAAGGCTTGGGCCCCTAGCAGGTGGGATTGCCCCAACAATACAAGAGCTGGAGCAGTAACATGTCAGCAGAGGGCTATGTAAGTTGGCTGTACATCAATAAGTACAAATTTAAATAGAATATACTTATTTCTACAAGTATCTACTGGTAGTAGAAAATTACATTAATCACAGCTATTTTAAATAGTACTTGTTAGAGGTCGCAATGGGAAAAAAAAATCTATCAGCACTATGCTAATACTGTTATTTTTTATGAACTAACTTTTATTTGTTTCCAAACAGGTCACGCATCTGAATAAACCTCAAAACATGTGTCCAGCATGACCTCTGACTGTAACTGTGTAGTGATGTAAAATTCTGGGT